ACCAGCGCAGCAGCAGCAGCAACTGCAACAGCAGCAGCAGCAGCAGAAGTGACTGCAGCTGCAACAGCAAGAAAAGAAGCAGCAGCAGCAAAACCAGCAGCAGCAGCAGGTGTAGTCGCGTCAGTGCTGCACAGCCCAGCAGCAGCAAACCCACTGCTACCCCCAAACTAGAACAAGCTCAAGCAGCAGCAGCAGCAGCAGCAGCAGCAGCAGCAGCAGCACCATGCAGGCTAGCAGCAGATTCTCCTCGGCGTGCAGCGACGCCACTGTCGCCCTGTCGAGCGGACAGTGGGGAACCTGAAGGTACTATGGAGAAGCAGTTTGCTGCTGCTGCTGCTGTTGCTGCTGCTGCTGTTGCTGATGCAGCAACTGCAACAGCAGCACTAGTAGAACCTGCAGCAGCTACAGCAGCTACTCAACCAGCCGCAGCAGCACACAGCGCAGCAGGATCACCACATCACGCAGCAGCAGCAGCAGCAGCAGCACCAGGAGCAGCAGCAACAGCAGCAACAAAAGTAGCAGCAGCAAACCTGGAGCCATCAATGAAGCCGACAGAAGCAGCAGCTGCGACTGCAGCAGCAATACCTGCAGCTGCAGCAGCACCAACTGCAGCAGCCGCACCAACAGCAGCAGCAGCATCACTAGGAATTGCAGCAGCAGGAACTGCAGCAGCAGAGGCAACAGAACCCGCAACAACACCTGCTTTAGAACCTGCAGCAGCAGCAGCAGCAGCAGCAGCAGCAGCAGCAGCTGCAGCAGAACCTGCAGCAGCAGCACATCCTGCAGTAGCAGCAGATACTGCTGCTGCTGCAGCAGAAACAGACGTAGGAACAGCAGCAGAATATGCAGCAGCAGCAGCAGGAGCGGCGACAGCAGAAACTACAGGTGCAGAGCCTGCAGCAATTGCAGCAGCAGCAGGTGATGCAGCAACAGCAGCAGCAACTGGTGTGGCAGCAGCAGAACCTGCTGCAGCAGCAGCAGCAGCAGCACCAGCAGCAGGTGGTGCAGCAACAGCAGCACAAGTTGATGCAGCAAGAGCAGCAGAAGTTGCTGCTGCAGCAGCAGCAGCAGAAATAGCAGCAGCAGGAATAACAACAGCAGACATTGCAACAGCAGAAGTAGCAGAAGCAGCAGCTGCAGATGTAGCAGCAGCAGCAACAGGAACAGCAGCAGCAGCAGCAGCAGCAGCAGCAGNCAGCAGCAGCAGCAGCAGCAGCAGCAGCAGGAGCAGCAGCAACTGAGTGGTCTCCACACTGCTTAACAAAATTATTTTTTTCTCCGCTTTGCTGCGGCTCTTTGCCCAGCTCTGACCTCTCTTCAGAAGGTGAATTTCGTTCTTCTTCTGCTGCTGCTGCAGCTGCTGCTGCTGCTGCTGGTACTGCTGCTGCTGCTGGTACTGCTGCTGCTGCTGCTGCTGCTGGCCGCTCGTCAGGAGAAGCAGAAGCAGAAACACCCCCCGCTGCTTCTGCAGCAGAAACAACGACAGCAGCAAGGTGCATGGACACCGCGTGCTGCTTCGGGTGGAGACAACCGCAGCAGCAGCAGCAGCAGCAGCAGCAGCGACTTGCTGCGGCAGCAGCAGCAGCAGCAGCACGTGGTGCGAAAGCCACAGAACATCCAACAGCAGCCAACCCAGCAGCAGCTGCTGCTGCGACTGCATTTGCAGCAGCAGATGCTGCTCTCAGCATCCAGCAGCGTGAGCAGCAGCAAAGCCGTTGGAGAGCTGCTGCTGCTGCTCCTGCTGCTGCTGCTGCTGCTCCTGCTGCTGCTGCTGCT